CCAAGGTTGGGAGCTACCATATATGACATCACCATAAAACGACAGTCAGACAATTCCCCGATACAACGAAGAGATAATAATATATTTCCTCATTGGGCGCACCTGAAACACACCCCCTGCTTATATAAACCGCCCACAGAGCCATACACAGGCATATTTAAATATTTCCTCTTTCAACATAAGAAAAACAGACAGTTGTAGGGATGACGGAAGAGAAGGAAGAAGCAAGAACGCATGCGCAGTCCATTGTTGTCCCTACGCAAGCTCCGTAGCGTCACTAGTTCTAGTATAGGTATCGCGCAGGCGCAGGGAGGCATGACGCGGATGGCGGTGTGAGTCATTGCGCATGCGCAGTCTACGTTTCTCGTTCTGGCCTGGCGCGCTCCCTCCTCGCTTGCAGTGTGAGGCGGATTCAATGAGTGGCCGGCGGAGGAGCTGAGAGCGAGGCCCGATCACTAGGTACAGGTAACCGGGGGGGCTGCTTTGAAAGTTAATGGGTCACGAGCTTTATGGAATGGGCCTTTCACATTCTGCCTTTGGGGCTTGGTACTCCCTCTTTGCGTTCTCTGGGCCCTCCGCACCCTCTTTAGGTAATAGGGCCCTTTATCCTCTCACAGACTTCCTTGGTCCGGAATTTATATGCTGCGACTCCTGGCTACCCATAGACATCTCCGAGGTCTTATTGGTGCGTTCTGAGAGTTCTGTCTGCAAATTCCTGAAGGCCTATTTCTGTTCTGGGGGCAGTTCTTGAAGAGAGGTCTGTATGGGTCCCCAGGGGTTCATCACTGCAGGGAGATCTGTATGGGTAGATAGGTGCCCATCCCTGCAGGAAGAGCTCTATGGGTTCCTGGGAGCCTAACCTGGAGGGAGATTGCTATAGGTTCCTGGGGACCCATGCCTCCTGGCGGGAGATCGCTATAGGTTCCTGGGGACCCATGCCTCCTGGCGGGAGATCGCTATAGGTTCCTGGGGACCCATGCCTCCTGGCGGGAGATCGCTATAGGTTCCTGGGGACCCATGCCTCCTGGCGGGAGATCGCTATAGGTTCCTGGGGACCCATGCCTCCTGGCGGGAGATTGCTCTAGGTTCCTGGGGACCCATACCTCCTGGCGGGAGATTGCTCTAGGTTCCTGGGGACCCATACCTCCTGGCGGGAGATTGCTATAGGTTCCTGGGGACCCATGCCTCCTGGCGGGAGATTGCTCTAGGTTCCTGGGGACCCATACCTCCTGGCGGGAGATTGCTCTAGGTTCCTGGGGACCCATGCCTCCTGGCGGGAGATTGCTCTAGGTTCCTGGGGACCCATGCCTCCTGGCGGGAGATTGCTCTAGGTTCCTGGGGACCCATGCCTCCTGGCGGGAGATTGCTCTAGGTTCCTGGGGACCCATGCCTCCTGGCTGTATGTTTTGCTGTAACAGTAGTGCTCATTTAAAAACGTAACTGAGAACTGTACAAGTGAAACCTTTTTTTGAAAATTGTGAAAGTCTGCTCTCTGTACATATCTGTAAGTTCTTTCAGGACCATCCCTGCAGGGAAATCTCTATAGGTTCCTGGGGGCCCATCCCCTGCCAGGAGAGCACTGTAGGTTTGTTGGTGGCCATCCTTGCTGATAGGGCTTGGTAGTTTCTGGAGGGGGACCGGCTGGCTACCATCCCCTGCTGGGAAAGCCTTGTAAGTTCCTGGGGGGCCCATCTGCTTCTGGGAAAGCCCTGTAGGTTCCTGGGGGGGCCCCCATCTGCTTCTGGGAAAGCCCTGTAGGTTCCTGGGGGGGCCCCCATCTGCTTCTGGGAAAGCCCTGTAGGTTCCTGGGGGGGCCCCCATCTGCTTCTGGGAAAGCCCTGTAGGTTCCTGGGGGGGCCCCCATCTGCTTCTGGGAAAGCCCTGTAGGTTCCTGGGGGGGCCCCATCTGCTTCCGGGAAAGCCCTGTAGGTTCCTGGGGGGGCCCCATCTGCTTCCGGGAAAGCCCTGTAGGTTCCTGGGGGGGCCCCATCTGCTTCCGGGAAAGCCCTGTATGTTCCTGGGGGGGCCCCATCTGCTTCCGGGAAAGCCCTGTATGTTCCTGGGGGGGCCCCATCTGCTTCCGGGAAAGCCCTGTAGGTTCTTGGGGGGGCCCCATCTGCTTCCGGGAAAGCCCTGTAGGTTCCTGGGGGGGCCCCATCTGCTTCCGGGAAAGCCGTGTAGGTTCCTGGGGGGCCCCATCTGCTTCCGGGAAAGCCGCGTAGGTTCCTCGGGGGGGGGGGGCCCATCTGCTGCCGGGAAAGCCGCGTAGGTTCCTCGGGGGGGGGGGGCCCCATCTGCTTCTGGGAAAGCCCTGTAGGTTTCTGGGAGGGCCCCATCTGCTTCTGGGAAAGCCCTGTAGGTTTCTGGAGGGCTCCCATCTGCTTCTGGGAAAGCCCTGTAGGTTCCTCAGGGGGGCCCCATCTGCTGCCGGGAAAGCCGTGTAGATTCCTGGGGGGGGGGGGCCCCATCTGCTGCCGGGAAAGCCTTGTAGGTTCCTCGGGGGCCCCATCTGCTGCCGGGAAAGCCGTGTAGGTTCCTCGGGGGCCCCATCTGCTGCCGGGAAAGCCGCGTAGGTTCCTAGGGGGGGCCCCATCTGATGCCGGGAAAGCCGTGTAGGTTTCTGGGGGGCCCTCATCTGCTTCTGGGAAAGCCCTGTAGGTTTCTGGGGGGCCCCCATCTGCTTCTGGGAAAGCCCTGTAGGTTCCTGGGGGGGCCCCCATCTGCTTCTGGGAAAGCCCTGTAGGTTCCTGGGGGGCCCAATCTGCTGCCGGGAAAGCCGTGTAGGTTCCTGGGGGTCCACATCTGCTGCCGGGAAAGCTGCGTCGGTTCCTAGGGGGGCCCCATCTGCTGTCCGGAAAGTTGCGTAGGTTTCTGGGGGGCCCCCATCCGCTGCCGGGAAAAGCCCATTTGGTTCCTGGGGGTGGCCTTGCCCTGCCGGCGAAGGCCAGTGGGTTCCTGGGGGTGGCCTTGCCCTGCCCTGCCGGCGAAGGCCAGTGAGTTCCTGGGGGTGGCCTTGCCCTGCCCTGCCGGCGAAGGCCAGTGAGTTCCTGGGGGTGGCCTTGCCCTGCCCTGCCGGCGAAGGCCAGTGAGTTCCTGGGGGTGGCCTTGCCCTGCCCTGCCGGCGAAGGCCAGTGAGTTCCTGGGGGTGGCCTTGCCCTGCCCTGCCCTGCCGGCGAAGGCCAGTGAGTTCCTGGGGGTGGCCTTGCCCTGCCCTGCCGGCGAAGGCCAGTGAGTTCCTGGGGGTGGCCTTGCCCTGCCCTGCCGGCGAAGGCCAGTGAGTTCCTGGGGGTGGCCTTGCCCTGCCCTGCCGGCGAAGGCCAGTGAGTTCCTGGGGGTGGCCTTGCCCTGCCCTGCCGGCGAAGGCCAGTGAGTTCCTGGGGGTGGCCTTGCCCTGCCCTGCCGGCGAAGGCCAGTGAGTTCCTGGGGGTGGCCTTGCCCTGCCGGCGAAGGCCAGTGGGTTCCTGGGGGTGGCCTTGCCCTGCCCTGCCGGCGAAGGCCAGTGGGTTCCTGGGGGTGGCCACGGCCTGCCGGCGAAGGCCTGTAGGTTCCTGGGCCCCTGCTGTGAAAGCTCTGTAGGGTCCTGTGAGCCCCCTCCCCTGCTGGGAGAGCTTATAGGTTCCTGGGGGCCATCCCTGCTGGGAGAGCTCTTTAGTTTCCTGGCCCACCCGTGCCAGGACACTTCTATAGCTTCAAGTTCATTGAGTCTGATCCCTGTTGGGAGATCACTGTAGGCTCAGGAGCTGGTGTGTGGAGGCATGATGATGGTAAGTAGGGATGCTCCCATAGGTTCCTCTCTTTCAGGATATGGTGATACTCCTGTTCATTGATCTCCACCCCTCTTTGGAGATCACTCTATGCTCATTAGCCAAAATTCTTCTGTGAACTGCATTCCCCTCTTGCATCCTAGAAAGAGGGGATGTTCTTATGCCCCCACAACAGTACAGTTATATGGGGATGCCCTGTAAGCATGGGTCCTGTCAGTCTGGATCTCCAGATATCTGTGCATGATTTTTGCCTGTAAACCAATGTATATACTGCTGTATCAATAGTTCTCTTTTTTTCTGAGAAAAATGAAAATTTACTCCAGGCTCCTTTGACAGTTGGTAATATAGTCTATGCCATGGCCACGTGGGGTACTGATGTAAAGCAGAGCTGGCCCATCAACGTCTCTTCCTAAATACGGGTTCCCTCCTGTGGTTACATGACCAATGCTGCTTGTGTCATGTGACCGTCCATTGGAAGTAGTCCAGAGCACTGTTTTCTTCAGTAATAAGGATTTTACAGCTGAGAATGTCCTCCTAAATGTTGAACTGTTCTTAGTTGGCTCGCAGGAGTGTCAAACTGCGGCCCTCCAGCTGTTGCGCAACAACAAATTCCACAAGGCACTGCAGGGCCGACAGTGGAAAGCATGACTCCTAAAGCCAGAGGCATGATGGGACTTGTAGTTTCTCAACAGCTGGAGAGCTGCAGTGTGACACCTGTACTCAATGTATCTCACTCATGTTTAATGAGCAGCACAGTGACTAAATGGTTAGCACTTCCACATGGTAGTACTAGGGTCGTTGGTTCGAATCCCAGCCACAGCACTACCTGCCTGGAGTTTGCATGTTCTCCCTGTGCCTGTGTGGGTTTCCTCTGGGTACTCCGGTTTCCTCCCACACTCCAAAGATACGCTGGTAGGTTAATTGGCTCCTGTCTAAATTGGCCCTAGTATGTGTATGTATGAATGTAAGTTAGGGACCTTAGATTGTATGCCCCTTGAGGGTTGGGGACTGATATGAATGTACAATATATATATATATATATATAATTGCTGCGTAAATTGACAGTGCTATAGAAATACCTGAAATAAATTTAGTTTATCCAAGGATTTAAAGTTTGAGGGTCCATGTTATAGAAAGTGCATTGATTGATGCAATCTACTTCTTTTGATTCTCTTCTTTCATCAGTAGGAGGTGACATTACTGCACTTGGTGTGACCTTTGTCTGGCTTATGTACAATGGCGACCGAGGAGAAGAAGCCAGAGACTGAAGCATCTAAAACACAATCCACTCCTTCATCCTCCACAAACCAGAGCAAGGTCTGCCAGTCTTGTGCTTTACATCAATGTTCACCTGTCATCGTGAAGCAGTTTTAAACATTTTCCTAAATGCGCTATTTTATTGAAAGGCATTTACCAAATGTAGATGTAAGATGCACAATTGAGCATGCCTCTAATAACTCAGAAATCACTTGAATATCCATTTTAATCAGTTGTAAGACAGGATCCTATAGTTACACATTTTAAGGGTAGTCATTTTACATATACATCATTTTGAGGGCGGAAACTTGCTTTTGCTGAGAAAGGGAGGTATGCACAAGGTGGTCCAGTTGAATAAACACATTTACAGGCAAATGGTCTCAATAAAAAGGTAGTCTTTTTATCGAGCCGCTGTTTATCACTCTTAGCAATGGTCAGAATTAATTACAATTTTTTAGTTTAACAGATAGTCAAGCTACAATCATTTGCAGGATTTGATGCTTTAACTAGTGTATATTAATTCAAATTTCCGCCTGACTAAAACATTTACTTGTCTGTGCTGCTTTCATTTGCCGGCAGTCAGAATTACAAGCTTTTCTGTCACTGACCAGAGACAAGTGTGACACCAGTGAAGCATGAACTCTCCTTCCTGCATATTTGTTCCAGGTTTTGAGCTATTGGCTAATAAAGCTAGTATAAGATGGTAGCCCCAAAACTTGTATGTTTATAATGCAAAATGGCAATGGAAGCACTGATATTATTGCAGGTATGCCTCAGGGTATCCTTACAAGTGAGATGATTGTCAACCTGTACAGCCCATTATAGCCCTTCATTTTTAGAGAAACTAGTGGGTTTGTGGTTGTTTTTTCTATAAATATATATTGCCTCCATATATTGTGTATTTATTAAAGAATTGTTTAGAAAAGTCCTCTTTCAGCACTTGCATTGTATTCCATCTGTTCTTTGACCAGGTTGTATGTAGTAATAACTTGTTTTATCTTCATTTCAGCCAGCACCAGTAAAACCTAATTATACTCTAAAGTTCACATTAGCTGGGCATACCAAGGCTGTGTCTTCTGTCAAGTTCAGCCCTAATGGGGAGTGGCTGGCAAGCTCATGTAAGCATCTTCATATTTATCATGAAAGCGCAATTGAACTGCAGTTTAAGTGTAGTGGTGTTATGAAGAGAAGTAAGGTGAAGATAGTTAACCTATAGAGTTGAGTGATTTTTGCCCCTTATTTCAAACCAAAGATGCTAGTACATAAAGAATTATTTAACTGCTTTCCGGCTGCACTGTAGCCAATAGACTGCTATAGCGTTGGTCTCGAGTCCTGGGAGGGTGTGCTCTGTGACTGCTGTTTGCTTTGGGCACAGCTGAACACAGAACAAGGTAAAGGGCCAATCACAGCTGTCGTAAATTAATCAGCAGTTTAACAGTTACGGGCTCTTGTTTCCTCACAAACACAGCTTGTGAGTAAAGGAGAGCCTGTCTGTGGGGCTGCAGTAAGTACAGCATTTACACTGATAATCAGTGCAGCCTCATTAGCACACAGCAGAAGAAGAAACACTACGTGTTTGTAAGACTTTATAAAAAAGAAATAAAGTTTTTTTTTTTTTGTTTTTTCAAAAATGTTGGTCTTTTTTTGGCAAAAAATAAAAACCCCAATGGTGATTAAATACCACCAAAAGAAAGCTCTATCTGTCTCAGATAAAAATTTCATTCGGGTACAGTGTTGCATGACTGAGTAATTGTCATTCAAAATGTGACAGCGCTGAAAGCTCAAAATTGGCCTGGGCTGGAAGGGGTGAAAGGGACCAGCATTGAAGTGGTTAAAAAGAAACCTTATTTGTACAAAAATCCATATTTATATAACATGATTTATGTGTCCCTAATAAATTTTTTTTTTGTCTTTTAGCGGCCGATAAACTAATCAAGATATGGGGTGCATATGATGGCAAGTTTGAGAAGACTATTTCAGGGCATAAGCTGGTAAGTGTGTGATTTCTCCCATCTTTGTGCTGTTTTTGTAGCTTTTCGTAGGTCTACTTGGCGTGCCGTGTACTCCAGGGAAATGTGATTCATGTAAATGGGAATTTAAACCTGTTTAGTGCAATAATTCCTGACAGGCCACCAATTAGAAGGTCAGCTTTTCTCAAGAGACCACCTAGCTTGTGAGTAAATGACAGTTATGTTTTTCTCAGGTTAATGTATTTGTGGTTATTTCAGGGTATATCAGATGTCGCCTGGTCTTCAGATTCCAATCTTCTGGTTTCTGCTTCAGATGACAAAACTCTAAAAATCTGGGATGTCAGCTCGGTGAGTTCCTCTAAAGTACATGTAAGCCCTAACTGACTAACCACTTGCCCTCCTGAGGATTTATCCCCCTTCCTGACCAGGCCATTTTTTGCGGTACGGCGCTGTTACTTTAACTGACAATTGCGTGATCATGCAACGCTGCACCCAAATGAAATTTACATCCTTTTTTTTTTCCCCCACAAATTGAGCTTTCTTTTGGTGGTATTTGATCGCCTGTGCGTGTTTTTATTTTTTTATATTTTTTTTTGCGCTATAAAAAAAGATGGACAATTTTGAGAAAAATAAACATGTTCTGCAAAAAAATAAAAAAAATCAAATATTAATTTGGGACAAAATGTTTTCTGCTTACATGTCTTTGCTAAAAAAAAAAAAAAAAAAAAAAGCCCAATATGTGTAAATTCAGTAATGGCGATGATCAGCGACTTATTGCGGGACTGCGGCAGACATTCTGACACTAGGGGAACTGACTTGGTGTCACTGACATCCCCAGTTACACCAATACAGTGATCAGTGCTTACAAAAAGCACAGACACTGTACTAATGGCACTGGCAGGAAGGGGGTTAAAGAGAAGTGTGGGATTTTTTTTTCATAAATCATACTTGCCTAGGTAGATGCAGCATCGGTCCCTAGATCACCTGCTCCAAGTGTGAGAACTCAGTGATCACTTGATTGCTGAGTTCTCACAGCCGCTCTGATAAAGAGCAGTGACTGTAAATGCAGAATGAACTGCACTCCTGTGATCCACATGAGAAGTACAGCCAAAAGAGCTTTGGCTGTACATCTCTTTTAAAGTTTAATTTGCGAGTACTGGTGTATAGATAAATGACTTTTTTCAATCCAGAGTTTTTATTAGTTTTGAAATGGACATAAAGTAACAACATCAATGCTGACAAAGACACACCCATGTTGTACACCGTAGGTCTGTGGAATAGTTAAGATAAAGTCTCTGCAATATAGCATATACAGAAGGAATGTACAATATTGCATAGACAATTGGCAAGCTATCAAATTGCTGAAAACAAATGAAATGGGACATGATCACCCCCTGAACATATATATATTTTATATATATATTTTTTTTTTTAAAGCACAGGCCCTAGAGAATTAAATGGTGGGTTTTGCAATTATTTTATGTCACACAGTATTGTGCGCAGCAGTGCACCAATATAGAATGTAATACCCAATTGTTTGGTAAAATATAAAAGATGTTACACTGAGTAGATACCAAACATGCTTTAAAATGTATGCATGCCGTGCAACAGCAAACATTTTATTACTCTTAGGCGGCGCTTTAAAAGCTTGTACAAGTTACCACTTTGGATTTACACAGGAGGTCTGCTGCTGGAATTATTGCTCTCGATCTGATGTTCGCCTTGATACCTCACTTGTGTTTTGATCGCCTTCATGCATGAACACGGGCACTTTAAAATTGATTTTTACAAATTTTTTTTTTTTTACACTGTCCCTTTTTAAATTTGTAACTTTTTATTATCACAAAGAGTGTAAAGATCCCTTATGATAGCAATAGGCAGTGACAGGTACGATCCTCTGTCCTGGTATCTGATCAAGATCATGTGAATGGCTTTGCTGACATCCAGCAAAATCAGAAGTGACGCAATACTCGCCACTTCCGGTGTTTCAGACCATAGCAGTGATCAGGGTTGTTCCGGTTCCCAATCAGCCGTATGGTTAGCCAGCAGCACACTTGGGTCTCCCAGTGGGATGGGAGAGCCCAAGGAGGGGAAGGGGATGTCCCCTCCCGCCACTTTTAAAGGATAGGTTCACCTTTCAGAACATGTAACATATTAAGATCAGATCGGGCCCCCCCTCCCTGCTTTGACAGCTAGCTGGGGATTTTCTCCCCCCATGATGTCAAAATTAACTAAAATCTGTGATTGAGAGACGACGAATCCCAACAGCTTTAGTGTTTGTCGACTTGTAGTCCTCAATTAACTACCACAACGCTGCCAAGCTCCGTGGTAGTTTATTCATTTTTCCTGTTAGTACATCCCGCACGAGCAAGCACATGTACTGGTATGTCGCCTTGCGTGAAGTGGATAATTGGAGTATAATGCAATGCTTTTTTTCATGTTGCATCTTGGTGCTTTTATGATGTTCTGTACAAACAAATGGCAACTGCCCCAACCTATAACTGGCCTTTGCAGCAATGATAACATGGAAGAGGAACGCATGTCAAACAAAGAAATTCCCAGCTCAACTTACAAACCAGCCTTCAACCAACTGAATTATCATGTCGGTAACAGTTCTCATTAAAAACGTGTTTAGTTTGCACACATTTGCAGATACATGCGTAAGCTGCAGGACCTCTTCACGGCACCCCAGTATTCTGCAGCTCTTAACTCTGTAGATTTTGAGAACCTTTATAGTGGAATATAATAGATCGAGAGCCGGTAAGCCAGGCGGGAGCCCACCTTTCCTTTAAAAGCATAGGGGCTTTATGATTTTCTGCAGCTTTTTTGTTCACAGCCATTTCCTGTCTATATGCATGTAATCCAGCAATGGCTGCATGGCCCTTCTTAGGGTGAGTTTTTCTAGTGGTGACAATAGTAAACCATACCTAATGCAATGTGTATAGAAACGATCACTTGTTTTCTATTGGAAGCCTAGTCGATAATGCAGGGCCGCATTTGGGGGTGCAGTGACCAAAAAAAAAAAAAAAAAAAAGAGAGTGAACAAGGAACTTCATGGCAGGATCACCAAATATTTGTATTAAAAGCTGCAGATTAAGGTGTTACTTTTTAAATTACATTAACCTGTCAGTTATCAAACAGGTCAGGTCTCCTTCTCGGTTTACTGTACAATATAGGCTTACATTTATTTATAAAAAAAAAAAAACACACTTTTTTGGAGTTGTAAGGGAAAAGGATCAGTCACTTGATCACTTCCTTCCTCCTCCATCCTTGACTGTATGGTCAGGGAGCAGCTTGATGTCATCACGGTGCGCACCTGCACTGAAATTGCAAGTCACACAACTTCTTGCGCCTCTAGCTGCAATTGGTGTTACATTCTGGCTGCTACTAACCCCCTTGACATGCCCAAGTTAAAGTGCTTAGTAAAGTCTATGTCTATCAGTGTTGGTGGGCTTTAGTAGTGGGGGGAAATCCTCACTAGTAAAGCCAGCTTGCAACGCTGGATTGTTGATGCGTTGTCCCTATAGCCTAGACCAGTGGTGGGCAACCTTTTTTTCAACTGAGCCAAATCTCGCCAAAACCACGATTGAAATTTATTTTGAGAGCCACATTTTTAAAACTGAAAATACATCCCCCATATAGTAATTCATATAGTAATTCATCCATATCCATATAGTAATTCATCCCCCATATTTTGTCAATTCACTTACCTTTGCTCCGCGTGTTCTTCTCGCCGTGGTCCCGCGCCGTTCTGGTCTTCAGGGCGGACTGTGAGAGGAGTTCGTCACGCTGCCCCGCCTACATCCTTGCTGCCCCGCCTACATCCTGACAGCTGCAGAGTCCTGACTTTTGGGGTGGCCGCCCGAGAGGGGGGGGGGGGCGGCCGCCCGAGAGGGGGGAGGGGGGCGGCCGCCCGAGAGGGGGGGGGGGGGCGGCCGCCCGAGAGGGGGGAGGGGGGCGGCCGCCCGAGAGAGGGGGGAGGGGGGCGGCCGCCCGAGAGGGGGGCGGCCACGCCCGAGAGGGGGGAGGGGGGCGGCCGCCGGAGGGGGGAGGGGGGCGGGCGCCCGAGAGGAGGGAGGGGAGCGGGCGCCCGGCACACAGAAGAGCCGCATTTAAGTTTGTAAAGAGCCGCATGTGGCTCGCGAGCCGCGGCTTGCTGACCACTGGCCTAGACAACAGGAGGAATATAAATTGTATTAATAGCTTACAGGAGAAACTAAGCAAGTACAAAGCTAAATGTTTAACCACTAGGACTGAAAAGTTTCTGCGGTGAGCACAACCTAGGTTTTTCACATGGAGAGATAATCTGGGCACTCTTCTAGTGAACAAACTTAATCCGTACCTTACCAAAATTTAAACTCGGATGGTACACTCCCTCAAAACCCCCAATTAATTTCTCAAGAATTCCATTCTTATCATAGCAAACTTTATGGAAAGCCTTTTGTTGATACTCCCTGTTCTCCCAGGAAGTTTTTGGAAATTGTGAGACTTCCAACTCTTTCTGCACACCACATAAAAATTATAGATAAACCATTCACTTGTGATGAGATCTCTAGAGTCATTAAAATGCTGAAATTGTATTAATTCCCTGGGACCTGATGGGACTTCTTAATGGGTATTTAAAAAAAGAAAAAAAATTCCCAGATCTACTAATGCCTCACCTAATGTACCTTAGTTGCCTAAGAGATGGTGTGCTAACTTCAGAGGAGGACAGCAGGGCATTTATTAATATAATGCCCAAACAGCATAAAGATTCTACAGATGCATCAAATTATAAACCAATCTATGTAATTGTGACCTGAAAATCCGCTTGAAAACCCTTGCAATGCAATTCAATTCATTTTTAGAACTGTATATTCATAGACCTCAAACAGGCTTTATCCGATATTGGCAAACATCAGATCAGATACGTAGATGGATAAATGTGATCTGCAATTTTTCAAGCTGCCAAAAGGATATCTAGTCAAGTTATCTTAAAATGACAAAGATGGATCTATTAAATGTTCACATTTAGCTATTTAATATTGTACATAATGTCACTTGACTTTACAAGTACTTTAACTCAAAGTACTTTCTATTTCTCTCAGCCGCTTCCAAATATATAAAATTAAAGTAGGCAAATATAGATTACAGAGCCATTAAAGTGGCTCTAAAGCCTTAGGTTTTTCACTTTAATGCATTCTATGGATTAAGGTGAAACACCATCTGTGCTAAAACCCCCAACCCCCCCTTTATTCTTACCTGAGCCCAATTCAGCAATCAGCACGAGAGTAGTGACTCTCACCACTGTCTTCCTCTTCCCTAGATAGATTGACAGCAGCTGTCAATCAAATGCTGTGCTGGGCGGGGCTGAACTGCCTGCTCTGTGTCAATGGAAGCAGGCAGGGTGGTTCGGCATGAGCCCGCATGGGTGCCCCCTTGGAAAGTGACTTTCCATGGGGCCACTTGCCGAAGAGGAGAGCCTGGAGCGTTGATGGGAATCCAGAAGAAGATGATCAGGGCTGCTCTGTACAGAACCATTACACAGAGCAGGTAAGTATGATATGTATTTTTTATTAACAAAACAAAGGAAGCTTTTAATGTCGCTTTAGGTAGTGAATGTGTATGGATTATTTTTGGAGAATAAAAATATTGTTTTAGCTATTAGGTATCTCAGAATAGCACACTTGTTACCCACCTCCCGCCCGCCATATAGTAATATGACGGACGCAAGGTGGTTCTCTCGTTCTGGGAGGACATCATATGACATCCTCCCATTCTCACCACGCATGCGCGGCTCAGGGAGCGCACGGCGATCGGCGGGGTGGTGCTGTGTCCCTCGGCCACAGCGGATCACGGAAAGAGCCGAAGATGTCGGATCGGTCATGTGATCAGCTGTGTTCAATCACAGCTGATCACATGTAAACAGGGAAATGCTGGTTATCGGCATTTCTCTCCGCTCGAGCTGTCACGCTGACAGCTAAAGAGGAAAGCCGGTAATCGGCTTTCCACGGAGGGGGACATGTACACTGATCATCAGGGCACTGATGATCAGTGTAGCCCCAGCAGTGCCACCTGTCAGTGCCCATCAGTGCCAGCTGTCAGTGCCACATCAATGCCACATATCAGTGCCCATCTGAGCTGCCTTTCAGTGTCATCCATCAGTGCCACCTATCAATGCCAATCAGTGCTGCCTTTCAGTGCCCATCAGTGATGCCTGTCAATGCCCATCAGTGCAGCCTATGAGTGCCCATCACTGCAGCCTCATTAGCGCACATCAGTGAAGGAGAAAATTGTATAACAAAAACTAAGAAAAAAATTTTTTTTTGTCAAAATTTTAATTGGTTTTTGGTTTAAGAAAAAATAAAAAACCCAGAGGTGATTAAATACCACCAAAATAAAGCTCTATCTGTCACAAAAAAAAATGATACAAATTTCATATGGGTACAGTGTTGCATGACCGCACAATTGTCATTCAAAGTGTGACTGTGCTGGAAATTGGCCTGGGCAGGAAGGGGGTATAAGTGCCCTGTAGGCTTGTGGTTAAACAAGCCATAACAGTAAAGGAATATAATAAAAAGATCCTAATCAAAAGTTAGCATACCCTTAATATCCCGTTGTACACCCTTTAGGATCAGTGACAATGTGCCTTAACCCATTTATAAGGAATCCATGGAATGAGAAATGTAGGTTAGTACTGCTGGGTTTGGGAAAAGTTAGTTTGCTGGATTTTATGGTGATTCAAAGCCTTCAGTGTCTGTCAGCAGTGAAAGCTTTTTCTTTATTCACAGAAGGTTTTCCTTACAATGATTCATTGAACTTTCAGAGATTATTGCAGTTTGCTGGTAATGGATGTGCTGTCATGGGGTAAAATATTTGGAGTCAAGTTTTTTCTGTTTTATCAGTCAGCAAGTATCTACTTTGTTTTTAATGCTGGCTAGAAAGGGAGAACCTTGTTGCTATGGGCAATACAAATGTCTGTATGCTGTCTTTATGCATCGGTACTTGAACAAAGAAAGTTACCTAATTTCATTGTGCTGGAGATGGACACGCTATTTATTCCAGGGATAATCATGTGTTCTCTATTGACAGGGAAAATGTCTGAAGACCCTAAAGGGCCACAGCAACTATGTCTTCTGCTGCAATTTCAACCCACAGTCCAACCTCATAGTGTCTGGTTCTGTAAGTATCATTTTCAAAGTACAGAAGGTACAGTACAAAGCCAGTTAGGCATACAAATATCACTAATAAAAATTACTCAGGCGCAGTCCGCCTGCTATCTGGTGATCCAGCCAGTTAGTCTGTTCTCTTTCAAAAGAACAAGCTCTTTTCCAGGATTATCAGTTTACAGAATGATACAAACCATTTAACACTGGCAGGGGTGTTTACAATGATTGGCTTTTGTTCCTGTAAAACCTTCATCCAAAAAGGAAAGAAATGGTTTGCTGTTGCTGCCTATAAAATGCGAGCTGGAGTTTGGCTTCAATTTGTTAGTGTATTTAAATCTACTAGTACATTTAACACGAAAATCCCCCCAGACTGATAATGCTGCTGTCAAAAGGTTCCACCTCTGCTCAGTCATCCAGAGTGGGAGCACTCTAATACAGGAGGTGGTGTGTTACTGGCTAGATCACCAGAGGAAAAAAAAAAACTTAAAAACAAAGAAAACTAATGCAGCCATCACATCTGATAGGTAAGCTGCAATATGTAACATTTTATAGATTTGGGTTTAATACTACTTAAACCATGCAACACATTCAGTAGCCATGAGAAGGGTTGGGGGTGGTCAGGCAACACTGTGAATTAGTGACAGGTGCCCCTTCCCCATCCATAGGATGTATGCTCATGCCAAGTGTGGTACCCAAACAGACTATGAGAATTAGCGCTTTGTCTTATAGTGTTTCAGTGCTACCTCTACAGCCCATAGCATGTCAGCCATACATAAATCAAAATTCAGCTGGCTTAACAGTGGCTGGCCAAATTTCAATCCATATATGGGAAATCTGATTATACAGAAGTTGATCTATCGATCGACTTCTGTACAACTACTACCCTGTCTGGTTTTTCCCAAGCTATTAGTTTCAATACACCTGATCAGTGTATTCTGACAGCAGGGAAGTCTCCTCGCTCTTGAAATACTCGTGCAATACCTAAGCCAGAAGGATTCCTGCATTCACATCAAGTGTGAGTGGATGAGGGATACTGATTCAATTTTTTTTTTTTTTTTTTTTTTTTTTCATTCAACCTGCTGGTTGAATGAAAAAAAAAGACTGATGGACTGCTTATGTAGTTTCACTTCAAAGTTCCCTATGATATTTTTTTTTCCATGTAAATTCTTGCAGAGATTTAATACAATTTACCCTAAAGAATGATGGATGTAATATTATAACCAAATAAAGACTGTTTCATTTCTTTCACCTATCACATTTGACAACAATAATTTTGTAAGATGCAAATGTCATTTGGTACTCCCAGAGCAGCCCCTTGTAAATATACATGTGTGAACAAACTATCCAATTAACAAATTTTATCTTAATCTGTAGTCTTGTACTGTATGAATAAGTATTCATACACCTTGAGTTATTGTCTTGTACCTTCAGCTTTTGAGGACATATTCCCTGGGCACCTCCTTTATAAGCCTGCCATCATTTTGTTGGTGTCCTACGGTGGTGGACCTCTTCTTCCTTTATGGGGAAATCACTTTTAGCTTAACTAGTTTAGTTTATTTTATATTTAGTTTCTTCAATCAACTCTTCACTGCCTTCTTATACAACAACAGAAGCAGTGCATCCAGATAAGTTTAAAAGCTTGGGAGCCACGCCCTGCAGATGGCCTGTAATGTTACTTTGGGCACTGGATCCCGCTTGAGAGCTCATCTCGGCACTTTGTGTGTAACTTGTAATTAGTCTCGGTGCTGCCCAGAGCCATGTTCCAGTCCTATGGAATCCAGACTCTGAAGAACCTTCCAGGTTGTATGCCCACTGTAACGGGCAAAGCCTGGATCTTATATAGAGCTCAGCATCTTGGGCAAGTAGGGCTGGGTTACCCTGCATCTCTGACCTCTGTAAAAACTTGGGCTATGTTTGGACTGCATTTACTATACAGTGTGAACTCTTCAAATGGCTCTAAAACTCAACTACATAGAGCTTAGTCTCATGTGAGTGACCAGGTGTTGAATCACACCACAGGTTGCAAACTTTACTCGGGCACTTCTTTCTGGCCTTTTGCCCCAAAGACTTCACTACAGGATGGTCTGCCCCTGGGTTAGTGCGAATTCCTTCTGGAGACTCTTACCCTATTATCAGCCCCTACTCTGTGATTACCTCACAGGGGAAGAATAGGTGAAAGAGAGCCAAGGCAAAATCTGAGGTAAACATATAATTTATAGAAGGAAAGCACGACACTCAACCTCAGAGTAATGATGCTTCCCTTGCATCAGAATAGGACTGTATTTTACAATGGTCTCTGCATCCAACTCTTGTTCTATTTCAGGCTTACCTGACAAAAGGCAGACTTTTCTGCAACTATGTCATAATTTCTTGGACAATTAACTGCTTTAATCCAATCAACTCTTTAGAGAACTTTGGAACTCCAGACTCTTTTTACTTGGCTCCACTGTCTCTACTTGAGTTGGATCCTGATGTGCACACCCTAGAATAGTCTGACATTTATATATAAAGTAGAACTTGTGGAACCTGTACAGTGAGCCGTGCATGGGCAACTCGCTGTAAAAATTCGGCAATGCTGAATCTGACAGAACGCCCGTGCATACGCAGGAGTGGCGTCATCCCCACCCGGCCAATGACAGCAGCCGGCGATTGAGAATCGGAAACCAGCTGCTCAAAGATGTCGCAGCCGGGCCGTTAACAGAAGAATGCTACATTGTCGGAACTGAGGCAAGTATACTTCCGCTTTAAAGGAGAAGTACAGCCAAAGCTCTTTTGGCTTTGCTTCTGTAGATCACAGGAGTGCAGTTCGTTCTGCACTCCTTTGACCCATTTTCAGCTGACAGCGGGCTGAAATTGCTCAGCTGGTCCAGGCTGGGGAAAGATCCTCACTTCAAAAGTCAGGATCCACCTCAAAGTCTGGAGACGCACCTGGCTCAGTCTATCAGCGATCTGCTGAGAACTTGAGCCATCCGCTCCCTCCCACTCTACAGCCCAGCGCTCCATTGTGCAATGGGGGGGCAGAGCAGACAGTAGTGCCTGACAGTCACCTCTCTCTACTCAGAGCAGCTGTGAGAACTCCGTGATCTGCAGTCATGTGATCACTGAGTTCTCACACTTAGAGCCGGTGGAGGACAGATGAAAAAATAAGTCCGTACTTCTACTTTAAGTAACTAAACTAATTTATTTATTTCAGGTACTTATATAGTGCCGTCAATTTATGCAGCGCTTTTACATACAGTATATATTGTACATTCACATCAGTCCATAACCCTCAAGGGGCGTACAATCTAAAGTCTCTAATGCACATTCATACATATACATACTAGGGCCAATTTAGACAGGAGCCAATTAACCTACCAGCATGTCTTTTGGAGTTTGGGAGGAAACCGGAGTACCCGGAGGAAACCCACGCAGTCACAGGGAGAACATGCAAACTTCAGGCAGGTGGTGCCATGGCTGGGATTCGAACCAACGACCCTAGTACTGCCAGGCGGAAGTCCTAACCATTTAGCCACTGTGTTGCCCATGCATTCCTATAAATAAAAGCACAGATGTAGTATTTAAAGACACTAATATAAAATCTTAGCCAAACGTTCACATATGTTCAAGAATAGGTAAAACTCTCTTGAACTATTATGTTGTTGCTTTATTGGTACCCCAAATATGTTATCTCCGTTTTGACATTTGTGTTAGAACAAGAGATCCATAAAAGAAAACCAAGGAGGGGACTCCTCCTTTTCCACTTTTAAAGGATTCTGTCATTCTACAAAGGTATATAAGTGATATAAAGACTGTTTTAGTTAAGTTATTCATGATATATACATTTTAAATTGTAAGAATGAAAAAATAATAAAAATGATATGAAAGACAGACAGAATATGTATATTATGCATATTAAAGTCAGGCTTCCACAGGGGTTTAAACAAAAAACTAATTTAAACCTAGTGAATCCAAAAACATCCAAGAATACATGGACAATGGTAAATGCTTGTGTGTGGGTGAGTTTTTTTGTTTTTGTTTTTTTGGTTTTTTTTTTTTTTATAAAACCCTTCACTGTTTTCATGCTACTAAGTGTAATAAACAGTGCAGGCAGTGCTAGGTTTTTCAAGGGCAATGGGGAGTAAAGAGCTGCATGCGATTTCTGAGACTCAGGAAGGGCCCTGTAAGTGTAATGCACATCAAGACTTAAAAGTTTAACCTAATAAATTATGTTCTTTTGTTTTGCCTAGTTTGACGAGAGTGTCCGGATATGGGATGTGAAGACTGGAAAGTGCCTGAAGACTTTGCCTGCCCACTCCGACCCTGTCTCTGCTGTAAGATGTTCTGCTGATGGTTTTTCATGAGCAGTTTTCTAAAAATCCTTTAACATAGCTGGATGCAAGAGGGTCTAGAAAGCTGAGGCTTTAGTCTCCTCCTACATATAGTGAATGCAGACATACTGGAGGGTTCAAGACAGTTTTGAGACTAAGGTAGATTTACTAAAACTGGTGCACTCAGAAGCTGGTGCAACTGTGCATGGTAGCCAGTCCGCTTCTAACTTTATCTTGTTCAATTAAGCTTTTCCAATAAAACCTGGAAGCTGATGGGTTTCTTTGCAGTGTTGCACCAGATTTTGCACTCTCCAATTTTAGTAAATAATCCCCTCTGTGTCATTAAATATTCTGTAGTTTGGGGAGAGCTGTACACTTTATCCCAGATGGAGTCTAGTGTTTCTTGGCAGATACTGTGCAGGGAAACAATATATCAAGCATTAAACCCAAGAACACAAATTTAAAATATTGTGACTTACTAGTCCTTCGATATCGTGACGTCATTATCTTTTTAGTGACTAAACTTTAGGTTTTAAAGTAAAGGTTTGTCCAGAACTGATGGAACAAATAAGTGTCTTATTACACAGACATTTTTCTAACATCCTGTATTTTGGTATAAGCTTGTATCAAAGAGCGACATTTCATAGAGGTTGTATGTACAGGTTATTTTCTGTTGGGAGATCTGCCAGTGGGATTACGAAACACTAGTTGGAATTGGCATATGCTGCAATTATTTGATAGTGGAACTCCTTTTTTCAGGTGCACTTCAATCGCGATGGTTCCCTCATTGTGTCTAGTAGTTACGATGGACTCTGGTGAGTTCAGTTATCTTGTTACTCTTTCAGAGCTATGATTGAACTATGTTTGTCCCTCATCAAATCTAACTTGAAAAGAAGTCACTCCCGGACAATCAGCCTAAGCAATGGCATTGCCTGCCCAGCAGCTGCACTTACACAAAGGGGTGGAGATGTTCGTGGACATCCTTGACTGAATAAAGCCATATGGTCAGTGACACTAGCCTAATATGTCCACGTGGCCATGTTAGGCCAATAATGTAACAAGCATCCCCGCACCTTTTGTATTTGTCAGCTGCAGGGCAGAGAATGCTCTACTGCCTGCACGTTGGACTAAGAGTAATGGTTGGCTTCTGGCTTTGGAACTAAACCAGTCAGAACAAACACAAGATTATCCCCACTCATGATATAAAGTATCCATTTGAACAAAAACTGATGAAGCATGATGAGAATTCTTACTTTTATAGTAGCTCTTATGCTTTGATTTTTTTTCAGTTACTGTATTGATACGGGAGAAAGAGTAAGGGACTTCTAGGGCTCATTCACACCATGATGCAGAGACATCGGTTTTTCTGCATGCGTTCTGCAAAGGCACAACAAAATCAGTTCTCTATGTGCCCTGTTTACACTACAACACTATAATCACATGCAGATTTTTTTTTTTTTCTGCACAGGAATCTGCAGGGTATATAAAACTCATTGAAACGTGCATGAAAACTGATGTCAGCTGAAGTCTCTGCAAATGAAATCTGCGTGTCAGTTTTTCTGCACGTATGGTGTGAATGAGGCCTTAAGGTACTAGAAAGTGTTATAAAGTGCATACAGTATGATATTTTTTATTAAGACAAACAAAATACTCTTCTCACTTTTTGTTGGAGTGTACACGATATGCTGTTTTGCATGATTCAAGTGTTTTCTCACAGTTGAATCGATTTATTTTGGTGCACTTGTCCATTACTTGCACGGATATTGTATTTATACACGTTTAGGTATTTATATGTAGAAGGTAATACACTATTATAGTTTCATTTTTTTTGAGGTTCACGGAGAGTGATAGGAGGATTGGAAGCTCAACACATTGGATTAAGAAATTTTCCTTTGGACTTATATTTTGGACATTTATTATTTTATTTAATTTATTTTGGGAATATTTTGATGGGGCTGGAGTAGGATTGGTTTGTATAAGGATTTGATGGAAAAGGTTGGTTATAATAATAGGACACATTTGCCGCTTACTACTGTGTATAGTACTGCCACGCTAGCATTCCTTTTTATACCTGTAAGATGTAAAAGTCCTGGTTTGACTTTGCCCCTCAGTTTTAAGTTTGTTCTGCATATGTTTCTCTTCTCTTCAAATTATTTCTGTTTTTTTTTCTTGTTTAGTCGAATTTGGGATACGGCTTCTGGGCAATGCTTAAAAACACTCATTGGTAAGAAACGGCTTTGGGGAAGCTTGATGGGTTTTAGGTTGTCTTTGTAGCAATACTCAAATTTCTTGTGTGGGGTTTTTTTTTTCACTAGATGATGATAACCCTCCAGTGTCTTTTGTGAAGTTCTCTCCAAATGGCAAATATATCCTAGCAGCCACTTTAGACAAGTAAGTACACCATGGTGTGTGTTAGTCATTTTTTAGGCAGATGTTGTTATTACATATAATTTTTTTTTTTTTTTTGTAATGTCTCGATTTAATTTTTTTTTTTTTTTTTTTTTTTTTGACATTCAACTTTAAATTCTGTCGATTTTCAGATCACTTTTAGTGGTAAAGTCGAATGAGCTGTGATGGAACACCTTTATCTCTTTTATGTTTGTAACTGACAAATTTTACTGATGTGTTTTTATTAGACTAAAAGCTGTTGTTTTAGAGCTTACTACATGTGGTATATTTTTTTGTTTTTAACTGGCTTTGTTTTGTCATATTAAAGCTTATTTACTTTATGACTTTTTTTTTTTCTCCTCCCAAGCACTCTTAAGTTATGGGACTACAGCAAAGGGAAGGTAGGTGTCACAAGGAGATGTCATATTGTGTTTAGCTTTGTGTCTCTAGTCCTGTTGTGTAAATAGCATCTGTTGTGTTGGTAATTCAATATCTTGATGGTATTCCCTGCCGCCTGGAGCAGCCCTCAGTCTGGTGGGTAAATTAAGAGGCTGTTATTGTGCCCTTTTCTGATAGTTGTGTGTTCCCCAGGACGACTTTGATTAGGGGGTGGAAATAATGTTCATCAATTCCTCGGGGGCCCTGTGACCCAGTGTTAATTACACAGCCTTTCTCACCAAGTCTTCTGTTAACCACTAATTTGTCTGCTGTGGCAATGTACACTGTTAGAGCATGTTCTATATGTGAAAAATCTTCTTACAACAGGCTGCAGAGAGGAAAGAAATGAGTTGTAACAGTATACATTGCTCTCAGAGGACCTGTTAAAAGCTTTAATATAACTAGATTGTTTATGCTAGATAAGCAGCCTTGTGGACAGGTAAATGCTGCACATAGATAACCTGTATATTTCAGAAAAACTGTCTTGGCTCTTTTCTGTATGGAAGTAATCTCTTTGATGTCATGGGCTCCTATGCAGTTAGACTACAGCAACATTTAAAAATCAGTTGGGATCTCCTGATGCTTTCCAGGATAAATAGCATCTGTGCTGAAGTCATACAATTTGCTTATTTTTATTTATTTTTTTCCTTTTAAACTTGGCTTTCATGAGGAGCTCTTGGCAGGTCTAGGAAGAATTCGTGCAAAAAAAACCTGCTAGTATTTCGATCGGCAGAGGCACATGATGCGGTTGTTCAAATTATAGGCACCACTTGTCAGCTTTATTAAAACATCCAGTAACTTTTTCACTGAATAAAATGTTTCAGGGCGATTCTGATTCTGTGGTCTGCATATTATGCTTGAAACAAGGAGTTTCTAGTAACTGATTATTTTCAGAGCAAGGTGGCCCTGGCACATGTTTTTTGTAACCAATATGTTTTTACAGTGATCTGGTTTTAGCTTAAAGTAGTACTAAAAGCTTAAGTTTTACTTTACTTATTTGGAACATGAGGGGCTTCTGTTGAACAAGGAGGGCTAAATTCAGATCAGAATTCAACTGGACCCTGTTGAACCAGTTTTCAACAGATAAGCTTTGATAATAAAGAGAAGCTTATTGAAGCAGCTGTTCATGACAATTTGATTCTGTCTTCTCCCGTTTTGATAAATTGCTACCAATGTGTAAGTCTAGACTTTCTTAAATGGAGGAAAACAGGCTTTAGTATCACAAATGTACAAGGGGTCTTCAAGCTTACTGTTGTCCCTGTGGAGTCTTGATTGGTGAAGTTTGAGTCTTACTAGTTCCCCTGCAGCTAGATGGTGAGTGTCCCTGTCAGTGCTGTTCTTTGATGCTAATGGAACATGAATGTGTGTGCCAGCCTGAGTTCCAGCCAGCTGGGGCACCCATATATCCAGCATGTCTTGCTATGCTACATCCTCTTACAGCAGCAGCTTGGGTGCTTCAGTACAAGGGCACAGCGGCAGCTTTATCTGGAAGTACTATTGGGGTACCTGTTGCAGGGGTCTCGGTCACCAGAAGGTGTCTTGGCTCTTGCCAGGCAGCCAGCTTAGCTGGGTGGCCACTTCCATTTCGTAACTTTACATCACAAGACAACAGGGTACTTCATAAAAATGAATACGTGGGTTATGCTGCCACCATCAGGTGAATGGACACTGGCCAAAAAAGGCAGGAATTATATTTCAGCACAATTGATGTAAATAAAAACATGTGAGTTTAGTGTAACGATTGGATATACATGTCTCTCTGAAGAGCTTCCTTCATGGGCTTAGTCTTCTATTTTCTGGCTTATTCTCTACACCCCTGCTGGGGTTACTCTACCTGGACCCTGTATGCAAGAGGAAGGACAGTCTGTTATGTTGTGAGTTGGCACTGGATCCTGTAGGCAGTGATCTCCAGGGTATGTATCTGGTGGCTTCACTAGCAGGGTGCTGTACAGGTCCAGGGCATTGATCCCCTGTAGTAGACTCTCGAAAGGCTGTGAGGGGTTTAGATTGGGCCTTCTGGCCCTGAATGCTGGACTGCGTATTGCCTCTGTAGTGAAGCATATGGCAGTCTTTTCAAAACAGTATTCTTGTGAATTGGGGCAGTAGAAGCTGAATTTTAATGCAGGCTGAATTATACAGGTGGATCAGTCCACCGCAGTTGAACACTGCAACATATTTGTAGTTTTGCTTACCAAAGGGTTGCCTCTGGTTCCAGGATTGTTGAACACCAGGCATTACCCCCTTGTGAGGTACTTAGACAACCTCGGGGAATGATCGGCTCAGATTTTGGTATCAAATGTCCATCAGATGGGCATGGTCTGGAATGGTCCAGACAGGCATTGAACCTTCAGATGTTGGCTTTGGTTCCAAAGCAACATCTGGGGTATTTGGGCTTAGTCCTAGTTGCTGCACAGGGAAAGGTGTTGCTTCTGCAGGACAAGTCTGTCTCTACACTCTCAGATGGAGTCTCTGAGGTTGCCTCGATAAGCCTCTCAATTCATGTCTGCATGATTGTACTACGGAAAATGGTAGCTGTCTTTGATGTAATTCCATATGCCCAGGTTTACTCCAGGACTTTATAACTCCATATCATGTCAGGCAAACATCAACAGTATTTTGATTAACCCATGCATATGATTGCCAAGGCCGCTCTGAAATGGTGGTTTTCCATGCGGATGCTAGATGCCAGAAAATCTTTTTCTGATAACTTGTAAGGTTTTGATGATGAATGTCAGGTTTTTTTTCATTGAGGGTGTTTTCTGGAGAACTTATTTGAGTGACATGGTCATTGGCGGAACAGAGTTTGCTAATCAACACCTTGGACGTTCTGTCTATTCAGTTAGCTCCTCAGCATTGGTCTGCCTCTCTTCTGGGTCTCCTGTCAGGGTGCATTTGGACAAGGTCATGGCTGTGGCATATATCAACCATCAAGTGGGGAGATATTGTTGTGCTGCTCAAGAGGAAGTGGACCTGCTCTTGTGCTGAGTAGAACTTCATGTTCCGAGCCTCTGCCATGTACATTCCCAGTATGGAAAACTGGCAGGCGGACTTATTTTTAGCTGTCAAGAACTGAACCTGGTGGGTGGGCCCTTCATCCAGTTATTCTCAGTGATTTGTCACTGTGGGATCTCTTGGCCTGCAGATCATCAACAAACTGGACAGGTTTTCGTCCCGGACCAGCGTCCTTCGGTTTTTAGCGATGGATGCCCTGGTGACGCCTTGGGTTAATTTCTCCCTGATGTATGCCTTTCCTACCCTGTAGCTTCTTCTCCACCTGCTGCGCAGGATAAAGGTGAAGGGCATCCAGGGAATTCTAATCACACCAGCTTAGTCAGGAAGAACATGGTATGCAAACATCACAAATCTCTTGGTTGTGGGCTCTTTCAGGTTAACCAGACTTGATGTCACAGGGTTTAATCTTTGCATCTTGCTTTATGGTCACTGGCATTGCCAGCGTTGCTGTTGAAGCCCTTGTCCCTACAGTCGGGTATTTCTGACTCTTGGGTGGTTCTAAAGGCTGAAGGTTTTTTACCTTCATGCATTTTATCAATTAAGGTAAAAAAGCCTTCGGTGTGCAGCTCCCCCCTCAGCCTCACCTGCGGCTGAGCTCGATCCATCGATGTGCACAAGATGTGTACCGTCATACAATGACTGACTGGTGTGAGGCTCATAAATTTCATCCCTGACTGTATGTTTTGGGTGCGTTTTTGGCTTTTTTTTTCCTGTCTGATGTGGCGATGTCTATAGCCTGAGGTACCATCATCAAGGGCAGATCTCACCTTTGGCCGGTCTGTTTCAAGAGACTTATTGCATCTCATTTTGTGGTTAAAAAGCCTTTGTGCAAGGTGTCAGGAGGATTGTTGCGCCTGTGCAGCCCCCTTTGTTCCAGTGGGATCTAACGTTGGTATTGCCTATTTTAGACTTCTCTAGTTAAGCCTGTTGAAGAAATTCTGTTGGCGCTTTTTATGTGCAAGTTCTGTTTGGTTGCCAACTTGTCATTACTTGGCTCGTAGAGTCTTGGAGCTGGTTGCTGTTTCTGCAGAGAACTTTTTACTAATTTTTCATAAGGATAAGGTGGTGTTAAGGCCTTGGTCCTCTGATTCCCTGTTTGTTCTAACGGAGGGTCCATGCTGCTTCTCGATCCTATTTTTCTAGGTGGTTCTGTCCACTTATTTTTCAGTCCTTTTGGTGAGCAGAATTTTTTTTTTTTTTTTTTTTTTTTTTTTTATTATTATTGCAATTCTTTGTGAGCATCACTAATTTTAGCCCAGGTCAGGTTCAATTTGAAAATCAAATGTTTAAAAATGTTTGTATATATCGGTTTATAAGATTTTACTCAAAATTGTACCTACTCTCTTGCAGTGCCTCAAAACCTACACATGTCACAAGAATGAGAAATATTGCATATTCGCCAATTTCTCTGTCACAGGAGGCAAGGTATGATGTGTTCAGAGGATTTTATAATTTTCACTGACCTATGTCTAATGCCGATTTGTATGCAGCATACTGCTAGATGTTTTTTTGTTTTTTTGTTTTTTTTTTAATTCATTTTTCAATTAAATACATATTTCCATCATCACATAGGAAAAAAATACAAAAATCATTCCTTGTTTACACTTTCTAAACCTATTTCCCAATCCCTCCCCCCTCCCTTCTTCCCTCCCCCCACCGCCCCCCCCATCCCTGTCAACCTTCTCTGCATTCTCTCCAGATCTTCCTAATAAAGCAAGTAGAGTTTAATCTTCATTTCTCCTTTATAGTTTCCTATATTTCTTATTCAATCCAGCTTTTTCCCATTTCATATAGTAAACCTCCATCTTATCTTCCTGCATGTGGTAAAGTTTTTCCATCTTTCTAATCTGATTCACTCTATCTACCCAGTCTTCCTCTCTCGGCACCTCTGCTTTCCGCCAGAACTTGGGTATCAAACCTTTTGCAGCATTAAGATAGTACCATATACCTGATTCCTTATATGTATTCACTGTTAAGTCTGTACTGTGCAGGAGACATATTGCTGGGTCCAACCCGACATCGATTTCAGTTATCATTCCAATTAAATAAATTATCTTCCAGAATACTTGGATTTTTGAACACTCCCACCATATATGGTTCGCTGTACCTATCTCTCCGCATCCCCGCCAACACCACAGTGAATTCTCCCCACACATCTTATTTTCAACATTCGGTGTAATGTGCCATCCTATCAAACACTTGTAATTTATTTCTACCTCCCTCATACTTACATTTTCGTGAGTTAATCTATATATTTTCTTTCTGTTTTTCCTCATCTATCACAACCCCCATATCTTTTTCCCATTTTACTATATATATTGGCTTTGTGTCCAGTTCAGTAAGAATTTTTCAAACAAATCCCAGTCCCCTCTAGTTCTCAAGGGTTTTGAAAGATTCCCAATAAAACATTTCAATTGAAAGTAACGCCACTCATCTATCTTAGTGAATATCTCTCCCTTTTTCTTTTCCAAATACTGCTAGATGTGTGTTAAGCTCAGCAATAGACTATTTGAAAGTGTCACAGGAGCACTGTTTTTGTTTTTTTTTTTTCTTTACTTACTTTGGAAAAACTGCACTTATTAAGCAGAGATGGTGCTACATTGAAACATTGCCAGTGAGTGAAGAAAAACCTTTAAATTGCTTGTAAAGGTTTGTATTTTGTTTCTTAAAATAAAATGTAATACTTGCCTGCTATGTACAATAGTTTTGCACAAAGTGGCCTCAAACCACCTCTGGGGTCCCCACTGCCGGTTCATTTGGCTCCTCTTGACTTCTGAGTGCCCCCATTCCCAGTTACTTGCACTCATGTGGGCTTGATCCCAAGCCTGGTTGTGTTTTTCCAGTGGCTCTCACTGCTACCTCTGAGTCCTGTGAAGAGAGAAAGCAATGCTGTTTTCTGGCACAGTGCTAGATCGAGATAGGAAAGTATTTTGGGGGGTAGCTGATCATGGAAAGTGTGTGGTGTGTTGTGTGGTGTTTTTTTTTTTTTTAACACCTTCATGCAGAAAATGCAAGGTAAAAAAAAAATCTTAAGCCTTTACAGCCACTTTAAGGTCCTTGGCAATCTACCAGCTGTTCTTGGTGAGAGGTTTGGTTGTCTATTGGCAACATTTGAGCTTTGCAATAATTAGGAGAGTGTGTACCCGAAATTGACAGGTACTCGCTCCCACTTCTGCGACTGCCTAGGTGATCAGAAGCGGAAGGTGTCTTCCCCAGAAGACTATGGAACCATTCAGAAAGCGCAGCACTACTTGCGCATGTGCAATGGCCACCTGGCTGTGAAGCTGCAAGCTCACAGCTGGGTGCCCACACTGAAGATGCTGGCGCTGGGAATACAGGATGGCTGGTGAAATGGGCTGCAGGGAGGACACTGCAGATTAAGGAACAGGTGTGTGGCTGTTTTTTTTTAAAAGTCAGTCGCTAGTTTTTGTAGCTGCTGACTTATTTTTTTTACAGTTTCACTGGAACTCCACTTAAACTGCATGAAAATGCATTTGAAGTAGAAAGCCCATTCTTTCCTGTGTAGATGGTACTACACTCCTATTTGTACATAGGTGCCCCTGCATTCACAAAAAAAGAACACATACTGTCAATCCCCTTCCTGTTTCCACACAGGTATACTGTAGGAGTATCCCTGCAATGGATACACAGGAAGTAATACACAGATACTGGTTCCAACCCCTCCCCACTCCAGAAAAAAAGAAAAAGCCATTTATCCCAGGCTCAGCTGCCCTTCCTGGGCATCACTTCTAGTTTCAGCACTGTAATAACCTGGCCAGGACGAAAATGATCAAACACGATCTGTGCTTGATTACCTTCAATTAGAATACAAAGGTGACATTAGGGCTCTAATAGAACCCTAAAGCCTCCTTAAAGAGAACCTGTTACTTAAACTTGTGAAGGACATGGTTAACGGAAAAACATACTACCCGATCTGCATTCTGGAGCTCAGAGCAATTTAATAATCCCTTCAATGCTGGACTAATACAAGGATATGTGATCCGGATTCAGTTGGGCTGTGCCACGGTCGTGGGTTGTCCATCAGAGAGGAACCAGAAGTCTGGCAGTTCAAAAAGAACAAGGACCGATACTGCCGACAGAACATCATGTTCAGCCCTATCTGATGTGCATATTCCAGGCATGGGGTTTCATGGGTAGACCTTTGTTCACAATGCAGATTAAAGAGAAGAAAAATGGTCTAGTTACATGGAGGTGTTCTTTACCTCTTTCGTAGGTATGGAACACCAGATGTGAACAAGTTTCAAGTTCAGCAAATTGACAAATTGTCTGCAGGTCCAGGGATCCTCTAGCCATCAGAGTGGATACGTTGGTGACTCCATTGCATCAGTTTTAACCTGTTGATTCCTGTTGCAGCAAACTGGTCCAAGCGAATGGGTGCTTGGACCTTTTTGGGCTCCTGGCAGACTCTCTGTGGGCCCTTTCAGATCCTTTCAATATTCTATTCCTAGGATTGATTTACCCTCCCCCCCGTCACTAGCCTTTTACAGTGTGGCTGTTCAGCCCAGGTCCTAAGAATGGAGGCTAACCTGTGTGTGGTGTTTTTTTTTTTTTTGTTTTTTTTTTTCCCTCTTCACTTTCAGACGTTAGATTGTTGGCTGTTCGCATTTCTACCATGACTTGTAGTCATTTTTTTCTGGTGTGGCAAGGAATTCTAATCCCAGGAAGTTCCCTGTGGGATTAATCTGGTCTTTTCTCCAGTCTGAACTACATCTTTCTCCGTGGCTGTGAGTGCCTTAAGGGACACATTTCAGCCTTGGCTATTTTCTCTATATATAGACAGTTTGCCCTCACTTCTATTTTGTGATCTGCAGCTTTAAAAATATATTGGTTTAAGCCCTGATTCTAAGAGCAGCTTAAATGATTCCATTTTCCTGTTTGTGTGTGTTTTTTTTTTTTATTAAATAGCTAGGACTATGCACCTCGCCCAAGATCCAGCATTATGCTTGGAAGCAATAGTTTGTATGAGGCAAAGCGAGGAGGTTTCATCCCACAAAATTCTGAATGGGGTGCAGCATCCTGACTTTTCTTCAGTCCTCTCTGGATCATCATTCTAGGATTCTAGGCTATGATTTTTGTGTGTGGTTTGTTTTTTGTTTGTTCCTCCCCATGGGCTGCTTACTCTTCCTTGATGTAAGCTTTGGAAAGGTGAGCTGCTTACATAGTTTCACTGGTACATCCAGCTGTGAATCTGTGAAATCTCATTCTGCTTCTGTTAGATCTTCAAAACCCCTTTAGATTATTTCCGAGCTATTCCTTTGTTTGCAACTCTCCACAGGGTTGCCATCCTCATGTGAACACCAGTACGGTAAGTTTCTGAATTGTCAGTCTTTTCTGGTTAACCACTTCAATACCGGGCACTTTTAGCCTCTTCCTGCCCAGGCCAATTTTCAGCTTTCAGTGTTGTCGCACTTTGACAATTGTGCAGTCATGCAGCACTGTACCCATAAAAATTTTCTATAACTTTTCACACAAATAGAGCTTTCTTTTGGTGGTATTTAACCTCTTCCCGACCACCCTATAGCAGAAATACTGCTTCAGGGCAGCACGGGTGCGTAAAATCACACGTGTGTGTGAGAGTTTGCATTTCCGGGTTGGCGGGTGGGGGTGGTAGGGGGAGGGCGCGCCCTACCCGCGCGCGCGCGGTTGTCAATCACCGTCTCCTGGTGGTTACCGAGGATCTCCAACAGGGAGGAAAACTGTTTTGTTTTCCAGTCAGCTCAGGCACACTGCAGCACACAGACACCGCCCCCCCTAGTAAAACTCTCCCTGCACACACTTAACCCTTTGATCGCCCCTCATATTATCCCCTTAAATTGGCCTAAATTTATGTCGAAATGTGATTTTTTTTTATTTTTTTTTTTTTTTTCCTCAAAATTTTTTTATTTTTTTTGTTTATTGCACAAAAAGAAAACGCACAGGTGATCAAATACCACCGAAAGAAAGCTCAAGTCGTGAGGGGAAAAAAAGGATGTAAATTTAATTTGGGTGCAGCGTTGCATGACCGCGTAATTGTCAAAGTAATGCAGCGCCGTAACGCAAAAAAAAATTGCCTGGTCAGGAAGGGGGGTAAATCCTCAGGAGGGCAAGTTGTTAATCACCACTGATGGGCACTGATGAGGTGGCACTGATATGCAACAATGATGGGCACTGATAGGGGAGCACTTATAAGCTGGCACTGATATGTAACAATGATGGGCACTGATAGGGGAGCACTTATAAGCTGGCACTGATATGTAACAATGATGGGCACTGATAGGTGAGATTGGGTGGCACTGCTGGGGGCACAGGCGGGCGGCACTGCGGGGTGGCACTGCTGGGCACCAATCATCAGGGCACTGATTATCAGTGCCGATCCCTCCTCTGACAATTGCCGGTTATCTGCAGTACTTTCCTCACGCTGTGAC